GTAACTCGATGAACCGAGCGCCCGTTTCCAGGAGTAAACGTTTCGGATTTCGCGTGAAGAATTCTTGGAAAACGTGACGTGCCAGCGTTGCATTCAATCAACCCGAAATTCCCTATCAGACTAGGCGGATAGCCGGTTGTAATTTATATTAATTGCCACTACTATCGATTTATCGCGTTCGCGTTTAAGGATCGAGACGCCCGAAGGATATTCGCAACGATGCTGCACAGTTGCGCATGGTGGTCGATCATGCAGCTGGGTCGGACCTGAGAGAGGTTTGTCCGACCCGTTGTTCGTCAGGGCCGGTTCTCAGTGTTACTACTTCCATTACAGTCCCAAGTTCATCGTTATGATTGAAGCCAATGTAACGCAGCTACGTACACATAACATTAGTTAAGTGACGGCTGGGCGCTTTACATGCACGATATAGACCCCAATTGCGGTGGCCTGTGATCGATGTTGATATAAGGCCAACGGATTGGAAAGTTTACCGTGTCAGACAATGCCAGTCCGAAATTACCAACATTTGCGCTAGTTTCAAACTGCTAAATTATACGTCGGGCCTGCGTTGCGTAATTTATTTCCCGGTCACGAATCCGCGCGCGAGTCTTTCGCGATTTTCCTCGACCGTGAGGCCGAGGAAAATCCTGACTGAGTACGCACGCGGTGTTCTGAAAATCTCTATAATCCGGCACCGAGCGTATCGATAAAACCAGGGGGGCCGGCGGAGGGGGAGAGGGAAAAAATCGGATCGCAACGCTCGGATCCCACGCAAATTAGCGTCACGTACGTTCGAATAATAGCTGCCGCGTTTTTGCGCGTATTTGTTTAGCAATAATCCCTAAGACAGCGAATCGAATTGGCCAGCTGCGTCGATTCGCGATAAATTTCCTATTCTCTCTTTCTCTCTCGCCCCTTTGTTTCCCGGGCTAAGGATAAATAATGCAAACAATCGCTCATTCGAAAGAGCGCATCGTGGGTGTATTTTCCCGATGGAGGACGATAATTCGCGAAAGTTACGTGCAACAGCGACCCAGAAAGACCCACTTCGGACCGCTTTCGCAATGTCCAACTGCGAGCTTAAATCGCGAGGACGTTTGCGTTCGGTCGGGCAACTTTAGCTGGACTTTGTCGTTAATCGTACCAGCGATGTTGTCGCATTCGCTCGTGTACAGGGTGTTTGGAAAGTAACGAAATCGCGTGTTTCTTTCCCCTGGAATTTCCTTTACTCGGAGACCATGGCGCATTCGTCAATTATGACAGCGAATGGGAAATGCGTGTAGCGGAACACGAAGTTCGGAGAGAATATTTAAAGATATCGATCCGCGATGCAGTGGGTGGAAGATGTATCGAATATTCATCGTAACAAGGAAAGTTTCGAGTGATTCGACGGAGTTTTGAAGCGAGTTCCAAAGAAACTGTTCAGCGGGGATCGAACGTTCGTAAATAATACAAGTCGATTCCAGTCGAAAGGATTGCTTTCAGTTCCCGCTTTTGATTACGCATCTTCCCCTTTATCTCGGTTTCACTCGCCGCTTTTTAACACACCCTGTCGTCTAACACGATCCACGTGTTTTTCTTTTCAAAGATATCACAGGCTAAGACGAGTGTCTCCTCGAAAAATCACAGCGTGTACGCTGCTTCCGGAGGCTGTGAGCTCATCCTATCTAGAAGGTAGGAAAAAAGACAAAGGGAGAGAGGGAAAAGAAAAGAAGTACACGCTTAAGCGCTAACCTACTTGGAACTGCAAATGCGCTAGCTCCACTGCATTCGCAAGCGCACCGCTATATCACCGGAGGGCCCCGGCCAATCTCGCGTCACGACGGCTTGTCTACGATTTAAGTAACTGCCCTATTTCGTTTCTTTATGCCCGTTACGTGAATTTCGCAGAGAGGAGGGCGCGTTTTCTGGCAGAGACTTCGCTAATCGTTGATGTATCTCGCCGCAACTCCATTCGAGTACGACAGCCGCGGTTATCTCGCGTTTCATGACGTTTCAAAGACCCGAGTCTGCTTCCTCTTCAACGCATCGCGTTATCCAAGCCCCCTACCAAATTGGACTTTCCCGCGTCTCTTTCAATTTCTTAATCCATTAACCTCGGCCTTCGGAAATGCATTGTGCTAGAGAAAATTCGCGGTGACGAGTTAACTCGTCGGAGCCGGTTGTTTCGTACTTCGTTTCAGAAACTCGGCTCTCTGAGACGTTGTCTGACAAACGCAACGCAGATATTCCGTCCTATTTACGAGCTTTTATACAATTGTTCGATGGAATATCGAGTCACGCTTCGTTGGTATGTCGAGTAGGTCAACAAACGGAGGCTGCAGAAGAGCTTGCGCGATTCGTGGGAAGTGGAAGGAAATTCTTCGATTATGATAGCGTTAGGAGCGTAAACGAGGTATCGTCGCGATGCACAAGGCTGACGGAATTGCGTTCGATCTTCCATTTTGGCGCATCTGATCGCGGGTAATTCGAAGCGGTCGACGTTCCATCATTTTATATCCAATGCATAAATTATCGAGAGAATCGATACAACGTCGAGGTGGAAGCGCGAACAGCGGAGCGAGAAAAAATCCTAACCTCGTGATCTCGGCTAACCGAGCCGGCCAGCTACCTTTGCGAGCCCTGAATTTGCATTTCCACGGATGCCGCGCGGATTTTTCGAACGCAATAATCTCGCGCGGTGTCTTCGATCCGCTGCGAATCCGAGATATTCCAATATATACGAGCCGAGAGGTATAGAGGGAAGAAGCTTTTCGATAAATATTTTTCCGCGCAATCTGCCGCGATTTCGCTCGCATTTCCGCCGCGTTTTATCTCCTCTGCTTATTCATCGGGGCCCACAGCGAGAGAGAAAAGGTAAGAGGACGAAGAGAGAGCATGCGACCGTGCCGATAACGGAGCCAGATACGAATTACGAGCTCTTGGACGCGGCCATTTAAATTATAGCTGCCACTTAATGCGCCCGCTACATAACCAGAAGCCCGAACGACTCGACAACTTCGTAGAGGCCGCGTGCCAGGAACTCGTAATTGTTTTGAATTAACGATACTTTAAGCTACGGCCCAACTTCATGCCACTACGCGCGGCGCTCGTCTCTGGCCGCGCTTATTCAGCTTCCACGCACGTCTCGGAAACCGTCGGCGTCGTCGCGACGTGTCTGGATATACGAAAATTTCCAACGCGGCGAATTTTCTTCTCCAGTTTCCTTCTTCCTCGTCCACCGATTATCCGCCACCGACGTTCGATTCCAGCGTCTCCGGCCCGACTGCGTACCGGCGCGTCGTTTTCCCGCAGTTTCCCGATATTTCGAAAAATAACGATGGAAAATGAAACGAAAACACGGGTGTCCCGTGGCTGGCGCGCGTGTAATATAAATGGGATGGGGAAAATCGAGCGCAAACACCAAACCGGGGTATCGATTATGCCACGCAAGATGCCAGCCTCTGGATGCGAGCGTATGCGCGCGGATCGACGCCGGGCGTCCATTAAAAAAGAGCCAAATCTGACCCGATTCTCTAAAACGCGACGGGCCCGTGGCTGCCTATTGAAAACAGTTTACCCTTCGATGAACTCGCGATACAACCCAACGGATTTTTATCTATCAAAGTTGAACGGGATGACCGGGCTGATCGGCCGGCCGGGGAACGGGATAAAATCAAAATAAAGAGAAAGAAAAAAAGAAGAGAGAGAGAGAGAGAGACTATATCTGCCGTGGCGTGAAATGATTTTTTTATTAATCGACGACCGGGGGGAAAAATAAAATGAAATGGAATAAAAAGAAGCGGGGGGAGAGGGAGAGGCCGACACGATTTCGAAAACGGCGCGTCGCGTCCACGGCGTTATCGATATTACATATATCAGCGAGGTCGCATCGAATGCTGGCCGGAATTTTCTTGCTGGTATTTTTTTAACGCGCACTCGTAGACTCGCGTTTTCCCAGCCGCGATATTTTCTTCCTCTTCTCCTATTTTATGGAAAATAAAATCGGACGGGGTGGGGCGCGATGGCGGGCTGTCACGGCTCTCGAACTCGCAACAAAACGGCGCGGTTATTGGAATCGCATTAATCGGAGAGAGACGGAAGAACCGACTGAGGGATCCGTATCTTTCCGCGATAAATTCCCTCCGGTGGCAGGGAAAAAAGGGTACAAATCATCCGTCCCCGGCGTGGATCTTTGCATTTTCATTTCGACAGATCGATGTCCGTGGCTTTTCGTTCCCGGCAACGGCACCCCGGAAACGATAAAGATCGTTCGGGCACACGTTGACGTTTTCCACGCAGGGACGAATGCGGAAGGAAAACACCACCGTCGTCCATATTTCATCCCTGGCTTCTAATGGCGCTTCGATTAAACATTTCCGAGAATCTCAGGCACGAGCAGCTCGCGCATTATTTTACGAGCATGTGGATTCTTGCCCGTACAGAAATTCGCGGCTGCGATTCCGTGGAATGTCTGAGACCATCGGGGAGAGAAAACGCCGTCTCTCCACCCTCGACCATCCCCGCCGCCCCTCTCGTTAGAATACGAACGAGTCCGTTCCGGGTAATCATTTCGACGCTAATTGTTTCGAGGTAATGGCTGAAAAATCCCGTCTATCCCGGATTCGATCACGCGATCGAGGTATTCGAGGACCATCGACTCGCCGACGTCGAGGAAGAGAGGATAAAAGCAGAACGGAGCCGAGCGACCGGCAAATATCTCGGGTCGCTGTTCCATCCAGGAACATCCGAAGATCGTCGCGATAGAAATAAAAGGGACAAAGGGGATCGCCGTGACGTATCGCGGGTGGAAAAATTCTTGGTTCTATTCTCGCACGCGTCCACACACACACACACACACACTTAAACATCGGTCAGGGCGAACGGTTCCCGATTATTTTCGCGATTGGACGCGTCGATCTGGCAGGTGAACCGCAGGATTCCGCGGTTACGTAATCGGCGGAGGATGGCCGGGGAAAGAAGAAGAGAGAAAAGGAGGAAAGGCAATAAAGCGGACTTACCTCGTTCAGATCGATCTCCTCTTGAGAATTCAGGTCCGGACACTTGTCGATCGAATAGTTCGTCTCGACGGAATTGGCCCGTGTGACACCGGCCAGAATCAGCACCACTAAGCACCACTTCATTGTCCACGCTGGATTTGCCGCTGGAAATCTTCCAAAGTCCCGTGTCCCGTCTTCCTGTCACGCGCGCGCCAAATCAATCGGCCGAAATGCTCGCTAGCGTCCACGCCGTCGATCTCGATCGTCGGCCGTTCGCCGTGGTACTCCTCGACCTTGCTCGGCAAACTTTCCTCCGATTTCTCGCTCCGGAAAGCAACTCCTCGCGATCGATTCAACGCGACCGAACGTGGTTCGGCTGAGAGACTCGAACGAGAGACGACATCGCGTAAGCCGCGTCTCCACGACTGATATTTTTCAAGCGAGTCACGCGGCTCCCCCTGTGCCTTCCTTTGCTCTCTGTCGCGCTTCTGGGACGCTTTAATTGAACGCGTCGCTCATCCCCGCGCCGCTCCGCGATCGATGGCTCAACGCATCTCTCGATCGTCCGGTCTTTTCTGGCTCTCGCTGCTGGATCCTCGAAAATCTCCGTGGCTTTCCTATCCACGACGTGGGTGGTCCTTTCGTTTTTCCAGGCTCTCTCAACCCTTTTGCCGTGTGGGCATGGTAAGCGGTGCTCGATGAAGGAGCAATCGATACGGGGCCCTCGATGAACGGTGTCACTTGTCGTTGCTCGTCAGGGCGCGCGCATTTTACGCGGTCGCCCCCGTGAAAGAGTTCCTCGGCTAACCTCTAATCTCCGCTCCTCGAGTTCCGAGCGGCTGAGAGGAAGAGAGAGAGAGAGAGAGAGAGAGAGAGTGGTCTGTCGAAGGTGCGTCGTCTTCGATCTCTGTTCCGGATCCGTGGATGGCAGGTCGGATCGAGGAATTCCAAGACGCACGATGCACGAGAACACTGAAGATCACTGACGAAAGGTTCGGTCCGTTGGATCTACGAATCGCGACTCGGGATGGTGGCGGATCGCGCGATCGATGCACTGCAACAGCGGCGTAACGCGAGGATCTACGGTCCCGTGGTCGGCGATCGAGCAGGCAGCCAGGGATGTGCACGCGGCGCAGTCGTAGGGCACTCTGACGTTCCCAGTCTGCTGCTTGCTGCTGGTCCTCGCTACGTCCGTCCGTCCGATCGTCGCGACGCCTCCGCTCGCGGGGAGGGGAGCGGGGAAATAAGAATGGACCGTACGCGCGCGATGGGAATCGTGGATTATTGGCGGGATCGAGGGGTCGGGGAGGGGTCTTCTTTTAGCTGCGAATCAATTTTCGGCGAACGATGCGCGAGGAACCCGGTTCCGTTTCCAGTCTCTGCGACACGTTCCGTCGTGGCCAGGCCGTGGAACCGCTGTCGTTTTTGCGCCACGACCCGGAGGGACGAGGTATGGCCGCGATAAAAGACGGTACCGTTTGCCTGCAGGAAGTTGGGACTGCCTCCAAACCCGCTTGGAACGTTACTCCGTTTGTCGCGAGCAAGCGGAAGGTTCTTCTTGGCTCGGTCTCCGGTGTATGTACTTTTGAAAATACGAAACTCGCGATTGTGTCGTAACTCGACGGACAAACAGACTCTTCCATTCCCGGCCGATCGTTCGACGAGATATGCTCCAAATTGCCTCCGCTGAATCGACTCCTCTGACAAGGGACGCGTGTCTCGACAAACGCGAGGAATAGACGGAGGGGAAACAAAGGTACCTCCGGTAGAGAATCGAGGATTACGGAAGAAATCGACGAAGGAAACTCGAGGAAACGATCGTCGCTTCGAATCAGCTTTCAATTTCGCTGCAATGGATATACGTCCAGCGACGTGGACCGAAGCGAATTGTCAGAGTTAAATGATGGCGGTCGTCGGCGAGTATCTGGGTGTTCTCGATTATCGTTAAACGGACACTAATTCCACGGTTCCGATGGCTCCGCGTGTCCGATCGAAACCGCGGATTAATGTCTCAATTAGAAACTCGTGAACGCTGCCATTAAAATTTTTCCAATTACGTTGAAATATAATTACGCGAAAGCACTCCCGTTCCTCCGTGTTTAAACTTTCCTCCAATTCGCGCGGTCGATCGGTCTTCGTCGACCAAGTTTCGTCCGTAGTTACAGAAAATTCGAGCGTTTCGAAGCACCGGGACCTTCTCGACTTTTCCGGCAAGCTCGGACCTCGGACCTCGCGTCCACTCCATCCCGTTCGCTCGCATTTTTGCCTGCCGTCCACGTGGAAGCTTCGTGTCATCGTTACGTCGTAGGTGGAGGATGATAATTTAGGCTCCGAGGCACGGAGCAGCGGAGAGACGATGGAGGAACGACAGAGATGACAGTACATTAAACGGAAGGAGAGACAAAGAAAACGTGGCCAGCGCTGTGCATCGGCCAATGAAAACTTAATTCGTTCATTCAATCTGCCCGATGATTCGGCCTGCGGGCTGATAAACCACGGCTGACGCACTCCCCAGACGTTTCATCGACGGAACGAGTGACGCGGAGAGGGAATCGGCAGGATGATTAATCGGGCCGAATGGAATTAAGAGCAAACTCTCCTCGCGAATCTTTGCCTTTGGAAAATCGTTGGAAACTTTCCTCCTTAAAAACACGACAAATCGCTCGTTCCGTTTTGCCGCTCGGCTTAATAGTCGTAAATCTGTCACGAGCGTGCTTTCTTTCCGCGAGCTCTGTACCCCGTAACGAGGATTCCGATAAGAAAATTATTTCGCGCCTCGCGTAGCCGTTCCGCTCCCGCGATTTTCACTCGCGCGCTAATTAATTTACGCTCGACAATCGAACGAATACGTTTAAACCGCGATTCGAAATACGCTAGCAAAGCGCGCTAAAGCCGACAGTCTCGGCCGAGACGGTGGGGCAAAAATCGGGGAATAACTGCGAAATATAGGTACCAATAATTAGTCGGGAATCATTTTGAAAGCGGATGGCAGCCCGGAATTTAATTTCCCCGGTGGACGCGTTTCTTTTTTCCCTTCGAACGAGTAGAGCCGCATAATTATCATGGCCGAGTGAAGTTCGATAAATTCCGGCGAATTTGTGCGGCCACAAATTGTAGAGTTTACACAGCCGGTGTTCCCAAGTTTCTTGCGCGTTATCGAACCGGGCCAAAGAAGCGACCAGGTTGTCCGACTGTATCGCGATAGCGAGCAACTTTCTATCCACTCGATTCCTAGAAATTACGAAGCCGTGGAAACGAAGCCGAGTCTAAAAGGGGAAGCTGCGATTAGAATTTTTCTAATTTTACCGCGACTAGGAAGATTTTCTAATTTTAGCGAACTCGTAGGTCGACGACTCAGTGATTAGCGGAAAATGCAACCGGGGGGGATTGTCGAAAGGGTGAAAAAAAAAATGGCGCACGGGAGGGAATAATACGAAGTGGAAAATTCGATTTGGATCGGCTATTGCCGATCGCGACGCGACAAAGAAGAACAATCGGCGATGCGAGACGGGAGGAGAGATCGCGGACGATTCGCAGCGTTCCACTCGTTCGAGAGTTCCGCTTCTGCACGCTTCCAACGAGGGGATTAATTACGACGCGACGAGGATATAACCAACTGTACCGAGCGCCATTACGAGGCAGTTAAAAAAAAAGTAGAGAGAGAAAAAGGGAGGAAAAAAGCGCAGCGGAGACAGAGGCTGGGAGGGGAGAAGAGGCAGAAAGCGGGTGGAAAAAAGAGCGGAGTGGGCCTGGAAAGCGTTTCCAAGAGATTTACATGACGAGAAGACCGTTGCGATTACGCTCCCAAGGCCGATCCTGGTTGAAAAATGCCGGCGGACGTACAGTCGGCTCGATCGCGACCTTCTAATTGGGAATTTAAATGCGCCGCCGCGTTGGGGATGATTACGATCTGGATTATTTAGCGACGAAAGCGTCCCTTCCGATATGAATGCATTTCCCTTAATTTATTACGAACTGTACGATGGTTATTTATTGGCGTGGCACGTTACACTCGATTCGCTGGAATTTCATAAAACGTGACCGGCAACCGAGCTAGGCAAAACTGATTAATTCCGTCTGGCTGCTGGACGAATCGTTACGGCACTCCGGAAATATGCTTTTTCCTCTAACCGACGACGCGTTTCCGTGACGCTCCACGCGTCAATCGTTATTACGCCGGATACAGAAAGAAAGAACCGTTCGGCCATGCGACGTTAAAAACTGCCGATTTTTAACAAAATTCACCGCCACTCGGACGCATCGCCGGTTCACGCTCTGCTCGAATTATTCTTCAAATTCCCCGCGTATTCTCCCATTTTTCCTGCCTTCCCTTCCTTCCTTTTAGCCCGACGGTGTACCGGTGTACACCGCAGGGTAATAACCGCGAGTCTCCTTCTTCTTCTGCCCCTTCTTCGTCCCCGGATTCGCGTTTCGAATATTCCACATTCCGTTTATCAACCTCCAGCGTGTAAAAAATGATTCGATAAGCAAAGCTGCGACCCGCTCCCGCGATTCCCGTAACGAATGACTGTCTTAATCTTGCCCATTCGGAACGATAACATGGATTTGCATAACGATAGCTGTTACGCCGCGGGACCTCGTCCTTCTCCACCGCAACTTCCTCCACCATCTTCTTCTTTTTCCCCGCTCTGTCCTTCGCCTTTATCTAATGAAGTTTCGCGACCGCCATTTTGTTCTCGTCTTTATTCGGCGCGACGTACACACAGCCGGTGGAACTAGCTCCATCGCGACGTTTAAATATAGGGAATCTAAGATAAGGGACCTAATCTAAATAATAGAAATAAAAAGGTAGAAAACGAGGGAGAGGGAGAGAGAGAGAGAGAGAGAGGGGGGCAAGGATCTAAACAGAGGAGCGTAGAATGAATATTCAGACTGGGGAAAGAACGTGCAAACGGGAAAGGCAAACGGTGCCGGTTTTACGTCGGTTGATTCGGGAGAAAAAAAATTTCAACGATATTTCGTTTGCGTCTAGATTCCCGTTCAAACGAATCTAATAATCGCACGGGTTCGTCGAACGAGTTTGAAAAAGTTCCCTCCAATTAAAATGTATTATCCGGAACGGGCTGAAGCGATTTCCCTGCCAAGATACCGAGGCGTATAATTCCGTTGCGGAAGTATGGAAACTTTCTAGCAATTATTTAATCTGGCTTCAGTCAACGACGCTCCGTGATAAAGCGTTCCTCTCGCGACGGACTCCATTTCAATCGCGTTTACGCGACTCGGATATTCACATTTGCCAGCCGCGAACGCGGGCTTCGACCGGGTTCGTTCTTTGTATAGAAAATTTGTATAGAAAATTACAGGCTGCACGGTGCCCGTGCTGCTCGCGTGCCTCAAATTCCGAATTCAAAAGGGGAAAACAATTGTCTGGTAATTAGCGAGATAGAAACGTAGCGTAGGAGAAAAGGGGTCGTTATTAGGGTGATTTCCTGAACGTTTCGCCATGAATTTCGTTAGGAGAGAGACCCGGGCGGAACACGTGAAAAGCGAAGGGAAGAAGGGCGGTGGGAGATGCGAAAGAATAATAATTATTCTTCGCGGAAATAGCAGAGCGGGGAAAACGTCGTAGGTAGTCGTCGAAACGTGGCGCGTTTCTAGACTCGCAAGTAGTACGAGTCGGTAACTAGTCAGCCGTCTGCCCGGGGAGCTGGGAAAAGAGCGAGACCGGGACAGTTGTTTCGTTTAAATTAAATTCGAACAACAAAATATCACGCCACGCATCCACCTGTCACTCGGTCCACGTGTTTCTTCCCAATTTCTTATTAAATTCCCCGCCATCGAAACGTCCCGTAACGCGAATCCGTAATTTAACGAGACTCGCCATCCGACGAATTTATACGCCATCGTGTACCTCTCCCCAAAGCGATGCGTCCCGTTGAACGTCATTAACCATACCGAATTACGCGTTGTAAATTGCCGCGTGTTAATGTCCGACGTTAAGCAATTAGCGAATTAATTATTCGATTAATCGAATTTAATAATATCGACGTATTATCGCGGCGGGGAGTAACAAATGATCCGCGTTAGAGAGCGGCTGGAATTTATACCACGATGGAGGAGCGTAATTTATATTTTCTAAAGGACCATTAAAACCCGGCCGAAACGACGAATTTACACGGGCGTGCAATAAAACGCTCTCGTCGCGATGTAAAATTCAGAGGTAACTGGTTCGCGCTCCGCGATGATTTAAACTGTTTACTTATCCCGAATGAATCGCCATGAAATAATCTGCGAAAACGCTTGATAAAAGTGTCTTTGCGTTGGTCAACAGCGAGACGCAGCCGTGACCATTTTCGTAAATCAACAAGCGCCGACGGCACTCGGTTTAAATACACGCTGGAAAGATAAATTCGACAGCGCGAAATTCGATTAAT